CGTATCCAGAGAGACCGCTGGGTACAAGATGGCGTGTGCGCAGAAAGATGCGTTGTTCCCGACCGCGAGAGCCGGTTAAGCGCCGCCTACCTGTACGTACGACTTACGTACGTCGGTGTAAAAATAGGCACCGCCACGCCCACACGTTGTTCGCACGACGGCGAGGTCTGCCGTCCCGCGCCACGGCAGCGCGCGCGGCGGTCAGGTACGGTGGTAAAAACTATGCACGTTACGCCCCAGCCAGGCCCCTGACGCCGCACGGCCGGCGGGGTTTTGGAGATAGCATCTAGACCCGCCCACGGTGGAGCCATACCAGACTTCGTTAAAACCTCTGTGATAGACATGATGGGCGGATATACTCGGCAGTAGCCCACGTCATCCGTAGCGGCCAATGACGCGAAGCGCGCGTGGCTGGCATTGATTGACAGCATTTCTTGCGGGTTTTCTTGTAGGAGCCACTACGCGCTTACCCGTGAGGCGCCCCACCCTCAAAAATGTTAGGGGGCCGTTTGGAGATCGTGGTCTCTGAGCGTCGATGGCCGAAATGCGGTTGGAATTCCGCCCATTATTTCGCCGGAGTTCGTTTTCAGACCCCTGTCATAGATATCTGTCTAATGGACAAAAAGGGGGGGCGTATTCGCGTCGTGGGGGCGGGGATAACTCAGGCGCCGCTAAGTCCCGTCGAGGGCCTGTAGGGGAATGATTTGCAATTGGAAAACCATAACTATGGCGGATACTGAGTCACTTGACAAAGAACATAAGGATTAGTTGTTTGAAATTACCTTAACAGCGTCAATATATTTTGGATTTCATCCTAAAATTGAATTACTCTTAACATCACAAAACTTCAATGCATTGCATTGCATGGTAGAGCGCGCCATAACTTATAAAAAAGTGATCTTAAATGACTTAGTCTCTACAGTGACAAGTGGGCACCATTGCACTAGATACTGGCTAAGCCCAACATAATACAAATGTGGAAACCACTACATTTCCACTTTCCAGGCAATATACATGCCCTGCCCACTGAAATACATTGACACAAGGCTCGTGAATGTTAACATGGTTTAGTTATTTTTTTAATTGATTTTCATTAAAATCTCTATAATGCAAGGTGCAACTTAGGCCTACCTCTTTGTCATCAACAACAATTTTTTTCTTTTCCAAAGCCTTCATGAGTCTTGAGGGGGCAGTCGACCCAGTTCACTCGTATAGTTTCTGTTCTCGAAATCCATGCAGGACTGCTTTTTGACATAAAAAAAGCGGTCAGCATCATAATTTGGTCACTTGTATTAATGACGTTCCAAGGAAGGCTTCAAATGCGTGGTCTGACGAAGGGCATGGGACAATAGAAAATAAAATTTCTTGTTGTGAACACGACACTTCTTGTTTTGTAAAGTTGCTCACTTTTTGCACGCGGTGCGCTCTGACAGGGAGACTGAAACACATCGTGGCGATTAACTCAAAACTCATTGTAATATTTCACGAAAGGTCAGTTCTGCATCGCAGTTACAACTGAGCGGTTCAGATTCGACACCATGTTCTCTCGCTCCAGTTCAGTTCAGGAGTAACAATGTCATTAGGTCATCTTAAATACTTCAAATTCTGCTGCACACATTTCGCGTAGTTTTGGTTTTGCTTGCGGGCTTATAGTTGCTTGTTCGGATGATGCACAGTTACAGACCATCGAACGAGGTCTAAGATCTGACCTCACTGCTCTATTGCCATTTACTAATTACTAGGCCTATCATTACGATTTTTCATTAGCAGAAGGATTTTTAACACAGAGCACGCGCCACTACTTTGCTGTATGCTTTCAATCTGCATGCAACAGATAAGCGGGACAGTTCAGAACGTCTTTATCGTAACAATAAACGCGACCGTGGATGACCTTTCATAATTTCCTTGACTGTTTACGATTCCCTAACACTATCACTAAGAGTAACAGTAACATTCACGTAAATTTTAACTTTTGCCGCCATTTCCTTCCTTCGCGACATGTACATAAACACAGAGGCGTACATGGATTTGCCTAAAATCAGCGCGGTCGCCGAAATGTGTTTTTTTGGCACGGAACAGATCACACAAACTTGGTAGTGCAATTGCTAGTCGGGGGGAACAATAATCCCCATAAAAATAGCATATATATATATATATCATATCATATATATAAGTACGATATCGCGTCACCGTCTTTTATGATCATATAAATGCAAACTAGTCTTATTTTGGTTTTCAGGTTTTTAAAATTTTGTCATTTATAAGGAAATCTTTTTCTTCCTTTTTATATAATTGTAAAATAGACACATTTTCTATTGCGATCGTCTGTACTGATGTCAATTTTACCAACGTTGATTTTCCCTGCTCCACGGTCTGTGTGCACTGATCTCTTATACACTATACCATTTTATATTATAGAGATCAGTGTCTGTGTGTTAATAAATCGGATGTTTTTCCTGTACCAGAAATCCAACTACGGGAAGTGCCCCTGTGTGGTTACGCCAAAAATGTGCGCAGGACATGTGTTTCGTATATAACATTATCGACAACGTATACAACATCGTACTAAAGTAAAGATTAAAGTGCTACAAATTTAATTTTATGTGGTCTACGTGCATTCGTATAGTTCGCGGAAGTGTGTCAGCTTAAGCTGGTTACACTATGGCGAAAAAATTCGTCGACGACGGCTAGATTTTCTGTGTTCTACGCGTCCAGGCACCTCTCACGAGTCTCAGTCTCAGCTCTCTCGGGTTCTCACTCTATTGCAAGGAACAAAGAACACTACAGCGACAGCGACCGACGCGTAACTCGACAAACGACTTTTCAGAGAAGTTTAGAAACTATTGTTTCCTATGAGCCATTGCACACTGACGCGGACAACGCACGACGACACACCTCGACGACACAACATATTAGAACCGTTCTCTATTTTCCAGCCGACGTCGGCGCCGGCGACACTTTACAACATGGCCACCCTATCACAGCCGTTTCCATCCGGCACGTTGAGCTCGCCATTACGTCATAAAATTATAAACCAATGCTAGCCAGGACAGCTTCTAGACTTGGTCCCAGACGGCTAAACTCAGCACCGCTTGTTCATCAACAGTGGAGCGCGAACCCATCTAAACAAAACGGCCAGGGCGTGGTCGGGGCCAGCCATCATACGTTGATTATTGTTTACGTTCGTATTATATGCCTGACGTGTATATTACTTATTATTTATTGCTCGATATACAATAGAGCGTTTTTCAGCAATTTATTTAAAGCAGCAGCAGCGAGTTTTTTGCTTTTGCTCATGAGTAGCACTGTGGTGCGTGCTGGGTGAACTTTGTCTTTACGGTCGCGTCTGTTGTGTCGCTTGCCAGTGTGGCTGCGGCCAGTCGCCGCGGATCTTGTCGTTTGTCGTGTACGGTCGTCTGCTGTCGCTTGCGTTGTGTCCTTCGGCCTTTAGGCTGAGGACTGAGGGGATGTTCACTGTTGTGCCAAAACTTGGAATCTTGCACAAACTTGCGAATTTCAGCGACACTCCGCAGTTTTGCGGCAACCAATCTGAGATTGGGCAAACAGAGGTAAAACAGGAGCTTGCACAAACATAGATTATTGAGGATTTTCAACTGTGTATATCCCATAACTATATTATTATTTATTATTATTAACCTATACTACTCTATAGTATACACAAGGTCGTATACCTTCTTCCTGTGTTTGGCACCTTTGTATAAATATTAAATCATAATAAATGATTATAATAAATAATATTGAATAAATAATGAGATAAACTCTCTTCCTAGTTTGCACACGACACCACCCAGACTCGCTCATGAGCGGGTTTGTTTGAACGCCGACTTGGTTTTCAGTTTGCCCCAATCTCTTGAGAGTTGGTCAGCCAAACTAGGAATCCGCACGTTGGGCAGCACAATCGCTGCACAATCTTGAGGATTGTGCAGTATTCCGAAGTTTGGGTCACGACATCACCATAGGGGTGTCACTTTCCCGCCGGGCTACGAATTGAGGGCACGGTGGTGACGTTCTTGACGTTCACTGACAAGGCGGTTATATAATCAGTTCCTTATATTACTTATATTCAATATTATTATAATATTATTCATACCTTATTTCCCTAACCCTAACCCTAACCCTTATTACTAACACTAGATCTTTACTTATCTTAACACTGAGTGCTGCCACGTAGCGTCACCCTCATCTGACGCCAGAGGAAAGTTATTCCCCGAAACTGAGAGGTCTATCTCCCCCGCAGGCTACAGCCGGAACGTACCGCTGCGGGTACGCGGTCCGCCTATACGTGGAACGTACCCTGGTACTATTCTTATATGGCGGATCGTACCTCGCTCTAGCATCCATCTAACGAGTCTAGGGAGTCGCCTTACGCGCTACTCGCCTAACCCTAACGTTTAAACCTAACCTAACCCTACCATATCAAATATGTTACCAGGGTGTGTTCCTGTATACCGGACCGTACCCGGGGTACGTCTCCGCGGCTAGTACCCTGGGACATGTATTATAAATCTATTGCCATGAACTCAGATACTAATCACATGTACTTGACGACAGTTTTGTTTCATGGGTAGAAAAAATTCTGATAAAGCCAATATAGTGTTGAGTAGTTAATAATGATAAAATTAGTCTAACGGATTACAGTACAATTACAATGCTATACGAACATGAAGAAAAAATAGTATACAAAAAAAGAAAAAAACTTCAGCACTATTCTGTATAGTCAGGAGGCTTATGCCACGTAACAGAGCCCAAATCTGCAAATTATGAAAGACATTTTTAAGGGTCAATCTGGGTTCATATGTCCCTCAACTAAGAATTTTTTTTGAGGAGCGCCAACAAAAGTTTGAGCCTGGGACGAAACCCCCCTCCCACTATGGGCGCCGGCTGTAAGGGACCCGAAACTGTTATGTGCCATATCTTTACCTTCTTGGTCGATTTTGCCGCAAAGTTAGCGAGTCGGGATTTTGGGGGTTTAAACATCAGGAATCGACTGGGCGTGGTTGATTGGCAATTTTAGAATTTGTGCATAGGATCACGTTATATCGTTCATTCGGGTTCACCTCGCCGGGCCGAATCTGGTTTTCACGATATCGGTCGGCTATTTTCTCCAAAAAGTTAGTCAATTGTGGGGTTTTGAGGTCAAAGATTGTATTAGATACACCATGGGGGCCTACACTTTTCAGACCCTGGAAACAGTCGGTTCACCTGGGTAGTAGTACACGTAGTCAAAATCTGACAGACTGACAGTCTGCAATCCGTCCTCGGTCACTTGCGTTACATACACAGCCCAGCTACTGACTGCCTATCATTCTGTACATGGCTTCAATAGAGATTTTTGCCACTTTCTGGGTGCATAGTGCAGAACACGAAAGACACAATACATTGTTCTTAGCGCATTTTGCATGACTGGCCACTTGAGTGTTCGCGAGAACAAATGCCAGTCTACGATCTCGAGTTTGCCGTCTTGCTGCGTCCGTGCGTCCAATTGAATGTGGAGTTGGCTTTGATAGAGTTTCCATCCACAGCATCGCAAGAGTGCGGGCTGGGCATCTGAGCTTGAGATGTTACCCCTAAGATGCAAAGGCAATGCATTCTTAAGATAGCTGCGACAAGCACAAGAACACAAACAACAAGAAATCAAATCAACGTCTGGCGTAGCATGATCTCGTAAATCGCGATCGACAAAGAATATTCTTTGTAAAGCTTGAACTCTTCGCCTGCCAGAAATTCACCAATATTTGTCTGCTTGCACATAGAGGGGCCTACATATAGCTCAAGGTTCACAAGGAGATCACCCCTCCTTTATCTCCCCGCAGTTTATATCAGACGTCAAAGTTTACAGTAAAATTGCTTTAGGCAATCGCTTTACCGCAGAATTTGTTTTGTGTAGAAGACGTGAATTGCCTCTTGGATATTTCCCAGAGGTTCATTGTCGGATGATTGGCGAGGGAAGGGTGATCACAATTGGAGTGCAAAAGTTATGACGAGTTCGTCGCACTAGCATTCTCTAATGGAAGTGAAAGATGTTATCAAATCAAAGGTAAAAAGAAATCATGTGAGCTCCAAGCAGTGCCGATGAGTGTCGGCATTGAGAACCCTCGCATCCAAGGTCACCCAAGCAGA